CAGTGCGAAACTCCGTAAAACGGCAGCTCGTTCGTGCGGGGCAGTGCAGGGCGGTGCTTCGGGGCAGTGAAATTTCCTCTCCCACTCAGGGATGTGGGAATGTGGAACGTTGTTCCTGCACAGAGACTCACCTCCGCATGCTTTGTGCTCCGAAAGCAACTTAACACGAGTATCTCAAATGAAGGGAAGGATTTGGGCTTTTTATAGCCTCTGTGGTTTTAATCTCATGTTATTTTATTGTTCCTGTTGTTTTATTGTTCTTTTCCCGCAGCGATGGAAGCGAGGCCCATCGTGACGTCCAAGCAGCGAGAGGAGGTGGTGCACGGGGTCCCGACAGAGGTGGTGTGCACGGCGTTCTCCAACTCCGTCCTCGTGGTAGTCACGCAGTACGGCAAGATGGGCACCATCGTCTACGTGGACCCCAACACGGTCGGCGACAGCGTGGGCAGGCCTTCCCTCACCACGAAGGTGCTGCTGGGCAAGGATGAGGTGAGAGCGGATGCAGGGTGCACAGGGAGCAAGGATAAGGGTCGAATGTAGTAGGTGGGGCCGTGCAAGCGCCGGGGATTTGATGAATCACAGCAGTTAAGCGGTGTTTGCACAGCGGTAAGATTAATTTTAAAATCTCTTCGGAGGGGAGAGGGGTTCATCAGAAAAGCATGCGCGTTCATCTGCTCTTTTGACGTAACAAAAGTTTAACTAACCATGAGTGGTTTGGTGATGTGTTACTGTGTGTCCTACAGGATATGGATTGCTTTGCCGTGTTTATGGAAGGTCTGATAAGGCTCCTGTTGATTTAAGTGTTGCAAGATCAAACATGCAGCCTTTGATAATCTTTTTTTTGGGTTTCTAATCCAGTGAGTTTGTTTTCAAGTCTCTTTTCTCACCCCCACCCCCACCCCGCAATCTATGCCAGCCCCACAATGAACTTTAGTTGCCCTTTCCCAAGCGCGCCCGCCAGCACCTACCCTTGATAAAGTTTAATTTGTTTTGCTTCAACAAAATGAGTTTTTATCGACCATTTCACAAAGCTGGAGAGAAGGCAGAAGAAAATGTATTTCACAAAGCGTCAACTAGTCAAGCATTAAAACAGAAAGTTACAAAGCTACAAGATTCTGAGGCTTTCCATCAGGGTTGGAGCAATCAAATAGTACTTGCTAACTTTAACTAGGAAAACTGTAACAAGTTCCTGGTTCTATCCACGGCTTCCCCATATGGAGCTCTCATTCTTCAGCAGTAGCCTTTTTTCTCTGGATGAGAGATGCTTTGCTTAACACTGACGTGATGTCTGCTAATTCTGACCACGTCCACCCTTAAGCTGCTTTTGTGTTTTATTTGGAAATGAGAAGTGCCTTTGTTTACTTTGTTACATAGTATTTTTAAATAATTTTATCAACTTAATCGATCTCAACTTCTACGAAAAGGTTTTCACTAGTTTGCTGCCTTCTTGCTTGTCACCATTAACATCTCTGTTTGGAATGGTGCACGCTTCCAAGCCACACTGGTAGCTAAAATCAAGCAAACTCTTCCTTCTGATAAACACATAACTGTGGGTGTAAATAAAACCTAGACAAGCTGGATGTTCTTGTTAAAGAACTTCTTCATTAAGAAGATTGTATCACTTTTCTTCCCTCCTTCAGCCTCACTAGTTATTTCTGGTTTTCATTATTCTGTTAAAAACAACACGTCTTTTACATACAGCATGCAAAGACTATGTATATAACACCATTTTGGGGTCTCTAGGAATTGCAAAAATAACAGGGTTTTTTTCCAGATCTTGTCAGCAGAACATACCCTCTTCAGCAACAAGGTTGTAAAAGAAAAATGTACTTGGAGACTTCTGCAGAAATCTGGCTATGATGGAAATAGAGGCATTTTGATCCATGGCTTTTCATGTAATTTGATGTTTGGTGACATAGTTTGGGTGGGAGGATTAGCAGAAAGAAGGATTCTCCGTACCGACTTTCCAAGTTTTCCAAACCTGTGCAAAACTCAATTGAAGTGCAGCTCCTGTTTCAGGGTGGTTTGGGTGGCTGTCACTTCCAAGTCCAAACTCTTCCCTTTTAAGCTGGTTGAGAAGGTGCTTTCTAAAGCTCACCGTACCATGGCTTGGCTTTGCCAAACGGCATGTCCATTCCAGTCATGTTGGAACCTCTCAGCAAACTACACAGTCTGAGGTCAATATCTCCAGGTTTTTGATAGGCTCCATGTCATTGCAGGACTCTTCCTCTCCTAACTCGTGTGGGAGGGCTCTCCCAGCTGTAAGAGTGTACATCTGTCTACCTTTGCTTTTCAGCCACTCGTCCATGTTTGTGCCAAAAACCTGGTGGCGTTTGTCTCTCAGGAAGCTGGGAACAAACCCGTTCTTCTCGCCATGGCTTTAAAGGACAAGAGCATGGAAGGAATACAAGCTCTACGGGAAGTGATCCGAAGTTGCCAAGTGTGGTGAAGTTGTGCCATCTGGATTCAAGGAAATGATCTTGAGTCCATGACTCATCACCACTTATTTGAAAGGACAAGAAATGAAAATGATGGAATGTCTTTGTGCTGGTTTTGGACGTACTGAGGAATTTAATGAATTTTTCTCTACTGTGTAGAACATTTGTGGGTTTTGTTACTGTGACAGGTTTGCAGTCCATACAGTCGGTGATGAGACAAGAACAACTGTCTCAACGTACAAGAGGAGTATTATTTATATCACATTGGGTAGGATGTGTATTTGGGAACCAGCACGGCTCCACGTTTGTGTGTCCTGAGGAGCCACAGATGCCAAGCTCTGGAGCTACTCTGTACCGCAAAGGGGCAACACCCAGTGCAGAGTGAATAAAAGAAACATTGACAAATCTAATTTTACCTGTTTTCTTTTTTGCTCTGTGAAAATCACTTCAATTGAAATACAAGCCTCAGTAATGAATCAACAGCAATTGCATAATAGGAAATAGTTTCTTGCCTGTTTTTAAGGAAATGAGTCCTATATGACTGCTTTTGTCCTTATGTCAGTCCGTTTCCTGATGTATGCTGAATCCATTTTCCACTTTCACTCCGATTTTAAAGAGAGACAGATAATTATGCTCTGCAAATTTCATGAAAGCTGACGTCAAGGTGGGAGACAGGAACCCAAATTAGTGGTGAGAAAGAGGCAAAATAACAGCTGCTTATGAATTCCATGGTACAAGCACATCGGAGAGGCAGCATGTACATAGCTTGGACCACCTGCAGTGAGCTGTCCCTCTCCTAAAGCACCTCTGGTAGGAGACATGGGGACAGAAGGATTTGGGGGGGGTTACACAGGGGTGTTTCTTCCGAGTCTGTTGGAAAAAAGGTTTAGATGAAGTCACATAAGTTGATGCAATGCTTAATAGCCAAACTTTTGCCATTTGCTTGGAAAGCACATTTGTTTTCACTTCTTGTAACAAGTAACACTAAGTAGTAAATTTTTAAGTGAGCTGTTACACACTTATGCCACTTAGGAATTTGACAGAGCAGACAGGAGCCAGGTCTTGCATTTGGCTGGGCAGAGAAGACCTGGGCTGGGTTAAGACCTGTTGGTATCAGCAGAATCAGCACAGAGCCTGTGCTTGCCCCACCTAGATCCAGTTGCTGGGTCATTTCTGTTGCTAAAAAATCCCCTAAAAGTAGCAGAAAATGCAAAATGCATTTTGAAAGGACTCATTTTCTCTGAAATAAGGGTTATTTACAGTGTTTAAGGGATTATGAGAAATGAAACTTGTTTTAAAAGTACGTTTGAACACTGCAGGCTTGCAGCTGCCCTTGACAAGAAATTTCATCTAAAAATAATTTTCCAAACTGTGCTTCCAAGAATCAAAGATTTGCATCTGTCAGAACTCCAAATTTTCCCTCTTTTACACTTTTTTTTTTGTCTAGGAGGGCTGAGAGAGGCATATGGAATTTGTTAATGTCGATCCTGGTTTGCTAGTAGGGATTCTTTCCTGACACAAAACTCAATGTATTTCTCAAATCTTGGTACTCTTACGGTGTCCGTAGCTCCAGCAACTTGTGGAAACCATACATTAATTAGCAAATTGAATGTAAATCACATCTTCCACCGTAGTGATATGGTGGCATACCACTGCTAAGCCCTGAAGTCCTGAGTGTTACTACTTAAAAGCTGACCACAAGTTAACCACCTTAATTTCCTGGTTCTGTGTGCCACCAGGTCTGCACAGGGTGGTGGGTAAAGAAAGGTTGCGGAGATGGCTCCCGTTTGGTGCTCGGAGCCGGGACAGACTTCTTGTTGTCTTTCCATGGGCAATAAAGAATTAGACCACGAGCAGCTGATCCTTCAACTTTGCTCTTCTCTGCTCTGCAGTAAACCAGGGGGAAATCTTCCCCAAGAAACAGGCACAAGTCTGCCTGTAGCACCAGCTGCCTGCCTTTTAGTCATCGCTGTCCTCCAGATAAGGATTAATTCCCAATTGAAAAAAAAACTGCCTTTGCCAGCCAGGCAGAGCTCTCGCCCACGGCCACAGGACGTGCACCGGGCTTGGAGCAGCAGCATTGGGCTGCACCGTGGCTTTCCATCCGTGTTTGCTTTCTGGGTGTGGGTGCCAAGCGCCATGGACTGGAAAGGTAAGTTCGGTGGCTTTTCCACAGGAGGCAAAGCCCGACCTGCTGCTCCGGCTCCCACGGGGCCCGGGGTGCAGCAGGGTGAGCAGGGCACTGGCAGGGCCCGCTGCCAGCGGGCGGGCAGGGCTGGGAG